AATCAAAATAAGAAAATGAGCATAATAATAATTTAATTAAAAACAAAAACAATAAATAAAATGTAATTTTCGTTAATCAAAGTCATCAATGTCTTCGTGTTCTGATTCCCATTCGGACTTGAAAACTTGATAATCTCCTCCTGGTACACTCTGAATGGATTTTTTGTATTTGTTCTGTTTTTTAGAACCTTTTGTAACAGTTTTTTGTTTCAATATCATTTTGGAGTAACAATTCTCTTCAAATGATTTGACACAATCTTCTGGAAGTGGGGAAGATGTAATGCTTTTTGTATATCTCCGAGAAAATGCTCTGAATCATTCCATTCTAAGATTGCAACGTTAACTCTAATGTTAATGTTCTTCCAGGCTCTTGATTTGTCCAAATAGCATGCAATTTTGGAGTTAAACGCTTCATTCATGCAGGTAGATCCAATGGAAGAAACTTTGGAAACTATGGGTGTCCATTTGTGAACCCAAGTTAGTAAGACTAAGTCGTGTACTGAGGCACTGCGCGCCTCCGTACACCACTTAGCGGTTTTGACACATAAACGACTTCACTAACGAATTCACTACCGTCCTCACTAAATAAAAAATAACCTTATTTTTATTTTTTTAATTTTTTATTTCATTACAAAGACATGTCTGACTACATTTACTATGACTCTTTCCCAGAACGTTTCCGTGAACTATTCAAAACTCAAGTAAAACTGAGAAACATGCATTTTAACAAAGACAGACCCATTGACGATGAAAGAAACCCTGAATATATTATAATACCTTATGATGCTAAATTTATTGCATACATTCCTTATGGTCGCAGAGGAACGAAAACTATTTCAACAAAGAACAAAAATTATTTCTGGAGCGATGAAGAAAATTGCCTTATCTACATAAATGCATACTTAAATAAAGCTACATATTGTACAAAAGAAGGTTGGACTGGATTTGAGCTCTACATATACGACGACGATGGAAACAGACGTTGTGTATACCCATACGATAATATGTACCATTGTTTTCATCAAGCATTAAACGAATACATAGTCAGTAAGGGTCTCATTCCTGCTGAGTAGAATGTTATATTTTTGTTCTGTCATTTATAAAAAAATAAACTTAAAAATTAATGATATCACCACCCTCACACGTATGAAAACATAGCACAAAAATAAATTTAGGTGAAGTGGTGAGATCTCACCTCTTTTTCACCTGTTTTTTCACCCTGTTGAATTCATTGCTTTATAACTCTCTTCCTTGGTTTCTTTTTAGTTGCTTTCTTCACGTCTGTCTCCAACTTGACTGTCTTTCTTCTTCGTCCGTAATGATACCAATTACTTCCACCAGTCAATGGGTCAAATGGTCGTTCATAAGGGTTTCCATACATTCCATAAGGTCCGTATGGATAAACCGCTGGGTGGAGAAGAAACATTTTCTTTAGTTCCATCGACTCTATTTAAATGCATTGTTTCACCTTTCATCTGGTCATTAAAGTCTTTTGCGTGTTTTGCAAACTCATCGTCCTTTCCTAAAGCATTTTCTGACTCAGTCGCAACCAAATTGGATGCTTTATTTATGAGCCCTATTTTATTTAATCTTAACTTCTTTGCAACCCAGCCTCCAATCTTCCCTTTATTTGCATCTAATGTCTTCGAAACCCTTCCTCCACTCATTTTATTTACTGCGTCATAAGCTCCAAGTGCTTTTGCTCCAAATGCTAATGCTTTTGTTCCCATTGCGCCTAAAGCTGCCCAAGCTACCATTTACACCATATTAAAATCATCTCTCTTCAATATTATCTCATAAAAGTTCTCGTTACTGGAGAAAGTCAATGAAACATAACATTCTCACGGGCTTCGCCTCACCGCTTTGCGGTCTATCTAACTTATTTCTTATATCATCTATACGCTTCAAAATGTCTGAACAATTGCTAACATCTTCTACAACAGTTATTTCATCATGAATGACCTTCAAGAACAAGCTCATTTAATATGCTATTAAAATCATCTCAATAATGAGTCCATCCTTTCCATCTTTAGGTAGCACAACATCTTTCATTGAAGAAGGTTCGACAAGTCTTATGTTAAACTTACTGACAAAGTTTGTTATACTATAATGCTTCGGTGGCGAATACATAGTTTGAAAGACATAATATAGATTCTTCAGCAAATTCACTTATACTGGATTTTATAACAATGTTCTCACGAGACCAAATACCACCAATTGACAATCTTGTAAGCAATCCTGCTGAACCTTCTACTGTAAACGTCGATGGTAACATTCCACGAAGGTCATCTATTGACATCTTTGAGTCACTGAATTTAAATATTTTCTTAAAGCAATCGTCATTATCTAACCATGCAATAGCTTTGAAGTTTTCATTCGAATATACATCTGCTTCATTAAATGTAAACCTGACTTCTTTGCAGAGATGACTTTAAAATCTATTGAGTTTGTTTCAAAATTATATGCTATGGTAACTTCTGAAGGTAATGGATGCCCTTCCGCAGTCAGTTGTTCTCTCACTACCGTTTGAAGCTTTGTATTAAAAACTTTCATGTCATCTCCTGTATCTAAGTTCACATACACAGCAACAGGGAAACTATCTTGCTTCTTTGTTTCATCATTATATCTCAAAACATTAAAGTTCTTCAATAATATTGTTCTTCCTGCTGGAATACTTCGAACCTGTCTGATTTCAATAGCTTTCTCACCTCCTACATACTCTACCCAGTGTCTTGGATATTCATAAGTATACTGACTTTCTTGAATTTTGGTTGGTTTCATCATAACGTGTTCATAGTATATCTTTATACTCTTGTCAGTTAGACTCGGTGCTATGTTCTGAATATTTCTGACTTGCATTTTTAATGGAGATAAAATGAAGCATTTAATACATGACGTAGATGAAGACATGAATGAAACTACAGACAAACTTAACTCTTCTCTCATTCTTCCTTTCAGCAAAGATTATGAGTTCTGTTCAAATGGTGTGTATTTCTATTGTGGAAAGATGGGTTCAGGTAAGACATTTAACCTCATTCGTCATATACTCATAACAGAGCGTTTAGGAAACGACTCTTACTATGACCAAATCATTATATCAGCAACTTCAGACTCTATGGACTCAACAGCGAAAACATTTATGTCAAAAGTTCAAGCCTCTGTCGTTAAAGTTCCAGACAGTGAACTCATTGAATTTCTTCAACGTTACATTCGACGTAAGAGGAAATATTATGCCATCGTTGAATTTATACAGTCAGGAATGCAAAAGACTTCTGAGGAGATGGAAAGAATTATTGACAAACACCACTTACGTCAATACTCAGGAGTTTACGATATGAAACGAAACGACTGACAAACTACATTCTATCAAAACTTTCAAAATACCCCTTCAAAAAGTATCCTTCAAACACTCTGCTCGTTTGCGACGACTTCGCCGGAAAAGGTTTAGTGTCAAAACCAGACTCACCATTAGCTAACATCATAACTAAAGTCAGACATTACCATTAACTGTAGCAATACTTATGCAAACATGGCGTTTCCTTGCTTTAAATATAAAACGTCTCATAACTGACTTCGTTATCTTTCAAGGTTTCTCACGTTATGATATTGAACTCATTTGGAAACAGTCAGGTATAACATTACCTTTTGAAGAAATTTGGGGAAGCATATAAGTCTCTCATCTCTCCTCGTTCATACCTTGAGATTCATATCATGACTAATACCATTAAAGTCAAAAATATTCCATGGGAACGACCAACATTGTTTTAAAGTTTAACCTTCAATTGACTGATGGTAAACAAATTCCATGCATCTCTGTCGCCATTTCTGTTAATATTTTTGCTGTCATTCATATCATCCACTTCCCCATCCGTTAGCTTTTGAGGATATGCGTTAGAATAGCTGTTCTTAAATGAAGGCTTTTCACCTTTGAGAGCATAAACTCTATAACTTTCTGCATACTTTATGTTTGAACCTCCTGAGCCATCATTGACATAAATTTTTATAGGCTTCCACCCTTTGTTCATATTCCTGCTTCTTCCCTTAGCTCTTTTGTTCAGTAGTTCTACATCTTTATACACAGCACCTGTCTCAGTGAATTCAACAATATTTTCATTCGTTAGCTTTACATTCAAACCCTTGTCGAGTATATTGTTCATTTCATACATATAAAAGGTTTTTATTCTATATGAAATGAGAAGCAAATCCATCTTAGCTGGTGCCGTTAATGTTCCAATTGAACCAACATCAAATGTTGACTCACGAACGACAAACAATATTGTCATAAAGAACTATAGTTCAGAGTGTTTGAAAGAAAAGAACCAGAACTGAAATCCGTGAATTTAAACTCAGCTTCAAACGCTAACGCTACATCAGATGTTAAGTTAGAGTATCCACCACTGGACCAAATTCTTTCAAGAGAAGCCAACGACAACCCTTACACAAATGTTCAAACAAATCCTTCAGATAACGTAGACCATTACCTTCTTCAGTTATACCAAACAATTTTACTCAAAGACGATAAGAAGCTTTTGACAAATCTTATAAGCAAGAACCAAATAATTCTAACAAAGGAGGACCTTGAAAATGTTATCTCACGAATAACAGGAAACAATGTGTCATTGACTATCTCGACCCTGAAATCGAATGCTGTGGTCAAACTCCACTATTCATGAAAATAGGTAACATCCGCATCATTGAAACACCAGGAACTACAGGAGTTGAGTTTAAGTATAAATATTCGAACGAGTATACAAAACTTTCAACAGAATATAAACTTTGCTTGAAATATGTTTTAGTAAATTAAAGCAATTTGTAATATCTATCCAAAACTTCTTCAACAGTATCGAACTCATCTTCATAATGCAAACCTAATCTTATTGACTTGGTGCAGTTTTCACTAACACAATATTTTTCTGTTCTCTTGACTGACATAACTAACTCATTTGTTTCATCAAACAGCAACAACCAAAGTTCATGACCTAATACATAACATTCATACTTTATATTTTTAGCTCTGAGTTCTCTTGTAAGCTGTTGCATTTAATATTTTCTAAAAAGTCAACTTCAACAGTCATTCGCACTGGTGCCTTCAGTTCTACAGGCTCTCCTTGAAAGTCAACAAGTCTGAATTGCATGTCTTTCAAATTATGAGGACTAATGCGAACCCATTTACCTAAATGAGTTGCTATGACAGGAACGTTTGGAATGAACATTGAATTGACTGCATAACAGAAGGATTTATATTCTACTGAACCTTTACTATTAACTCCTGAAATGCCTGTGACATTAGCTATTTTAGACTCAATGTACAAACAATTACCATAACATACGTATGGAACAGATTTCATCTCAATCGTTTTGTCAACACTTTTCAAAGGAAATGTCATATGGTATGCTCCTAAAAGAAGTTGAACTCTATGACTCATTCGTGTTATCTTGAACTCTTTCTTGCTACTGAACTTCAATGTTCCCTCAGAAGAGAGTTCGACATCTATGTTGTCAATAGTTTCTTCATTTATGAGAGTATTATGACTCCAGCAATTTTATCTATTCTATACTCTGCTCTGTTAGGAAATGTTATAAAACTTCTTTTGTCATCTATTTCAATCTCTATGAAATCTGTTTCATCTGTTATGACAAAAGTTGCGATAGTATTGAAGTCAACAACTCTGAAAGCAAGCGCTTCATTCTGAAGACCTAAGTTTGTTTGTAGCTTTACTGTCCCGTATTCGTTTGGGTCTGTACTTTGCAAATAGAACAACATTTTATTCTCATTAAAATATGACTATTGCTGCATATGCGTATGAAACAAATGAAGCAAGAAGAGCACATGAACTAGTAAACGAAAACTCAACTTTAACCATTGAAGGCAATGATTTAGTCATTGACGATGGAAAAACTAAAAAAGTCATTGATTTCGATACTTTTAACACTTATGACCCATTCATTACAAAGCAAGGTTCCATCATAAATGATGGAACGGTGCAATATATAAATTCTACAGTAGATGCCTCATTAGTGAAAGTACTGAATGTTCTCATTGAATTGTTAAAGAGCTTTCGATTTGACGACAACATTAATGCCTAAAGAATTTAGTCATGAATGAGAAACAAATTCTCGGCGTTGCTGGTAGCAGTAATGATGTACACCTTATGACATTAGAATATTATAACGAACATAAAGATGAACTGAAAGGAGAGAAGGGTGACACCGGACCACAAGGACCACAAGGAATACAAGGAATACAAGGAATACAAGGACCTCAAGGCGAGAACGGTTTGGATGGAAAGGATGGAAAAACTGCTAAATCATGGATATGGGACCTTATAAATACTGGTTTAACAGCTGCTTCATATGGAGTTCTTCAATACCAAATCGGAAAGATATGGGCAGTACTTGGTGAAGAAGCTTTAGATGACGTTAAAAATGCTTTGAACTTCATTTCAAATGGTTCGGATACTATTAAAACTTTATCTGGTTGGATGCAAGAAACAAGGAGTCAAATAGATACTGTAAGACGTATAGCAAACAATGCACGTACGGGATTGGATACTTTACGAGAAGCACAAAATACACTAAAGGAAGCAAATGATATTCTTGGCTCAGTATCAGACATGCATGAAGATTGGCTTAAAGGTATTGACAAATCTTTAAAAAATCACAGTCAGTCTATTGCTGACTACAAGAAAAGTATAGATTTTTTACATAGTGCTATGGACGTACATGATGGAAGCATAAGGAACTTACTTAATGCTAACAATAACTTACCAGGAACTATTAAAGCATTTATAAAGTCCTTTGTAAAACCTGGTGCTCTAACATTTAGGTCTTTGAGAGCAAGAGCATTGAAGTCAAGAGATGCAGAAACTCCAACAGAAGGAACTGAAACAACAGAAACTCCAGAAGAACCACCAAAACCAACAGCTAATGAAATATTGTTCGAATATTTTCCAAGGTACTCTGTTCTCATTGCATACATTCAAGAAATACTTAAGAAAGCAGACTTGATTTTAGGAGATGATGAAAGTTCTGTATATCTTTCGTTCCAGTTTCAAATAGCAGAACTTTTGAGACAGATATGCTTAATATATGACAACATCTCTGATTTCACAAGATATGATGACGACCATGACCCCGAACACGGTGAAGAAGAAGTTTTACAAACATCCATTAAGACAGGAAAGGTTTTAACACAAAGTCTCATTATTGACACCAAAGATGGCGAAGTGGACGTTCTTCAAGAGCTGAAGAAAAATACTTCTTCGGGAGGTGGTGGTAGGCATGAACTTGAAATAAATGAGATAGAAGAGAAATTAGCCGAAAAAGCAGATAAAGAACATAAACACAATATCTCCGATATAAATGAACTTCAAGCTACATTAAATAGTAAAGCAGATAAAAATGAACTTGACGCAATGAACAAAGTTTTGAAATCTCATAAACACAATATCTCCGATATAAATGAACTTCAAGCTACATTAAATAGTAAAGCGGACAAGAACCATGTTCATTATATAACTTCAGACGAACAGATTATAACGGACTACCATGGATATTTAACACGAAGTGATGAAGCGAAGACAAAAAATGTTAATGAAAGAAGATATAAATACATTCGTGCTAAAGGTTATGACATAAGCTGTACTGTACAGTATGATGTAGCTAAAGCACCAGAAGCATTTGGTTATACCGGTGAAATTTATGCCTCTACTTTCAATGTTAACGGTGTATTAGTTGAACCAAGATTTACTTTGAGAGTTAAGTCAAAAATAACGTTTGAAGATGCTATTAAAAGTAAAGCTGACAAAGTTGAACTCGAAGCAATGAACAAAGTTTTGAAATCTCATAAACACAACATCTCCGATATAAATGAACTTCAAGCTACATTAGACAGTAAAGCTGACAAAAATCATACACATAACTCCTTCTCAACTGTTAGAGCAGACGACATAATATTGAACTATACCCTTGGTTCAAGTGCACCTTTAGAGAATCCAAGTACAAGCGTAAAAGATACACTAAACTCCTTAAATAACAAATGTATGAATATCGAAGGTCATGTCAGAAACTTTGAAACACATGAACTACCAGCAATGTTAGATAAAAAAGCAGACAAGAACCATACACATGATTTCTTCACAACTGTTGCTATAGAAAGTATTGAAGGAACGGTTGAAGGAACTGGTGGGGATGTATTATATTGTAAACCTCCTAACTTTCCACAAGGTTTAACATCGGATGACGACATAACGACGATGAGAAACATTAGATGTAAAGATGTTTATGTCATGAAGGATGAACATAATATTAAATTCACTGCTCAAGATTTATATGACAAGAAAGCAGACAAAACAGAGCTTCAAACATTAAAGACTCAGATTCTTCAAACATTATATCCTATAGGCTCTATTTATACTTCAATGAACTCAACAAATCCAGCAACAGTTTTAGGTTTTGGTACATGGCAGCAGATTGTAGACAAATTCTTATACTGTGCTAACTCTTCAAAGCAAACAGGAGGTTCGAAGAAAATTACTGAAGCAAACCTTCCACCGCACACTCATACAGGAACTACAAACACAACAGGTAGTCATTCACATTCAATAACAAAAAGAGGTTATACAAATCTTGCAGCAGGTTCGGATAGACAGGGAATGCATAGATATGATATTTCAAGTGACCCAGTAGATTCAAGCGCAGGTATTTTCTGTGGAACCGCAGGAAATCATTCACACACTTTCACAACAAATCCAACAGGTTCGGGTGAAGATTATATGCCACCATTTATGACTGTATTTGCATGGTACCGCGTTCAATGAACGCGCTTGAGCCTAGAATAAAATCTTTAACTTTACATAAATGAGCTTGAAGAAAAGTATTCGAACAACATCCATGGAGGTCATTTAAGAAGTTCAATGAAGCTGCAAAGAGTTGGGGATTTACTAACAGAGCTGAAGTGAAAAGGTTCTTTGACAAAAATGTTGTACATCAAACAAAAATAAACCCTTACGACTACTTTTTACCAATTTACTCCAACACTCCTGACGCATACCAATTTGACACTCTCATTCAAAGCAGAAAAGGAGGACATAAACCATTCCTCATCTTCATAAATGTTAACACTCGTAAAGCATATGCATATCCAATGAAAAATAAAGGAACTCGTGAAGTTTTAAGAGTTTTGCAGACGTTCGTGGCAGAACATAACCCAAGTACTTTAACATCAGACCAAGACAGTGCATACCTCAGCAACGAAATCACAGAATTTCTCATTAAGCATAACATAACTCACTACACTACTGAAGACCATAACCATAACATACTCGGCATTATAAACCGCTTCATAAGGACGCTCAGAGATTTAAACCAAGAGCGAGACTTTACCGAAGAAACAATGAAACATTTTCTCGAAGTATATAATTCCTCAACGCATTCTACAACAGGCCATACACCAAATTCAATGACACAACAACAAGAAGAAAAGTATATACAAAAGAAACGAAGTCAAACACAAAATATCAGAAATTCAACACAATTTACCCTCATTCCTGGAACAAAAGTTCGTGTAGTTCTTGACGACAAACCGTTGACAAAGAAACGTTTAAGGTTAAGTCGAAATTATTATATCGTAGACTCTACGCAAGGTAATGGATATCTTATAAAAGCTGCCGACGACTCTATTGCGTTTTATCCTCGTCATAAATTAGTCGAAAGTAGTAATGGCAAACTTGCTGAAACCATTGACGAAGCAAAGCGAGGAGTGGTTATTGAAATACTTGGCTACAACATAAACGATGACACTTATAAAGTAAGATATGAAGGAGGCGTTGAAGATGTTATAACATCTAAGAACTTGAGAGAGTCAAAGCCAACACATCTGGGACCATTAGAGCGGGAGTACTGGAAAGACAAAAATATGCCAGAAAGAATAAGAAAATTCTTCTAAACTTTTTCGTTGGATGTAAATCAGACAAAATATATTTTAGGTGAAGAGGTGAGATCTCACCTGTTTTTTCACCTGTTTTTCACCCCCGTGAATTTTCATGAATTTTCACAAAAGACCAAAAATAATGTTTAGGTGAAGAGGTGAGATCTCACCTGTTTTTTCACCTGTTTTTTCACCCCCGTGAATTTTCATGAATTTCCTTAAGACAGAAAAAATAAAGTTAGTTTTATTTTTATTTATTTTTTTATTTTGTATAAAAGATATGATTTCAACAATCGGCACAACAACAATTCAAACAACAACAGCACCAAACTCGTTAGTCATGAATCCAACATCTATGTTAGTAGAAATGAAAAGCTTCATTCCTTCTTCATATACTTTTGAAACAGAAATCCAGAAGATAAAGCAAGAACTTTTAACAAGTAATTTAGACTGTAGTGCGAAAGATGAAACAAATGAAGAATATCTTTATGAAATGCAGGACATTATTGAACATTTACCCAAATTGCCTGAAATCCAACAGCAAAAACTAACTATTCCTGAATTCGACGAAATAGAAGTGAAACCAACTGATTCAGTAGAAATAAAGAAGTTCATACGTAAAGTAAATTATGAATTCCTTGGTTTTCATTGCAACCATAAAGTTATGGACAAAGATTGCGACATGGTTTATAAAAACATTTCTGACATATATAAATCTGAGGAGTTTAAGACTTACGATAACTTTGTTTCATTAGTTGCAAAATGTGTTTGGGAAATAAGAGATAAAGATAGAAGAGGCAAAGTATGGAACGAACAAATAAGACCCACTATGTTTGAGATGAAGAGAGCAATTGACGCCTTAGTTGTTTTAGCTGGTTTTATTTCAATGTATAACGCAAAAATGAACCCGCAATGTTCAAAATGTAAGGCAGCAATTAGGAAATATAACTACTCAGTCAAAGAGATAGAAAGAATGAGAAACGACTATGCAGACTTAAAGAAAGAAGCAGAAAAGCCAGCAGAAGATAAAATGAACATGTTAGAATTTCTGAACAAAAACTATCCAACAGCAGAAGATTTCCTTCTATCTGACGTCAAGAAGAAGTATAAAGAAACCTTCGGTATTGTTAAAACTTTTGACATACTGACAGAAGAAATAGAAGCTACGAAATTGTTTAGGATTTCAAATATACATCGTACAATTCATGTAAAACGCTTGTGAAAAAACTGGGGTGAAAAAACAGGTGAAAAAACAGGTGAGATCTCACCTCTTCACCTAAACATTATTTTTGTTCAAAGCTTCCACGAGAGAAAAGATTCCTCATTCGCTAAGGATTCCAAAAATGAAAAAATCATTGATTTCGGCTGAGAAAAAACAGCAAAACCCTTCTTCCACGGGAACAAAGAAATAAAGAAGAAATAAAGTAAATTTTTATTTATTCCCGTGGAAGATAGAGCACTTTTATGACACTTTTATTCACGACAAACAAGACAAACAAAGAAAATAAGAAAATACGGCGCTGTCGCGGTTCGAACCACAGACTCTGACCCCTCCATAACACCACCTTAGACCACTGTGCTACGTAGCCTGTCGACATAAGATTTTATAAATTGCATATTTGACGTAAATTTATTTCCATCTAGCTTCCCACCGCATAAGATATTCATACGTGTTTGTAAGACATTCATTAAACTTCTTTTCTATTGCATCTAATCTTGCGTTATTTTTTTCAATAACTTGTCTGTATTCTTCATCATCTCCAGCAGTGTTTGGGTCTTCACGTTTAAAATATTCATTGTTAACCAATTTTTATCTACAAATTTTATTAGTGTTTGATTCACTTCGTTATGATAACGGTCATATTCTTTCAATACGTAAGTGAAGACAAAATGCGTCGTACCTTCAATCTTAAAGCTTAAAGAACTTTCAACACAGTTTTGAGGGTCTGTCAGTGCGTCAATGAGATAGTATTCGAAGTCAGTCAATAATCTTTTTAAAGTCATTTCATACAGATAAAATTTAATGTTGTGAAGAAATAGTGTTTATCTCAGAAAAAATAACGCTAATTTTATTTTTATTTATTTTTTTATTTTGTATGTAAAGACAGTAATGACAACATCAGAGAACACAACAACAGTTATAGTCCATGAAGCCATAAATGAAGAATACGAGTACATACAATATAACAAACAGTTACGTCTCATTCGTTCAGTCAAAGATGACATGTACCAAATGCAAAGTATTTTGACAGCATGTTATGCTCCAGATACTAAACTTCCTAAAGACTGGTTTAGGAACCAAAGCACTATTGAACTATTAAATGAAGCACAGCGAGACATACTTTTTTCTGAAAACAGTGAAGAACAGCGAGTAGGTAAAAAACCCCAGTCGCCAAAACTCTATGAAAATCGTGAAAAATTGCCAAACGGTTTGAGAGGATATTATGTTCATAGACTTCTTGTAAATGCTGTAGCAATGTGGGCTTCACCTCGTTATGCTTGGTATGTTTGTAAACTTCTTGACGAAATTCACAGACAAGAACGCGAACAGATGGAAAAGAAACTTCAAGCAAAAGATGAAGTCATTGAATCCAAAGACAAAAGCATACAGAAAAGAATACCGCGTTCAGTACCAAAAGGAAAGGAAAAGAACTATAAGTATATGATTTATACTGAAGAGATGGAAAATGAAGAAGACAGAGATATGATTATGTTGCATTTAGTCAGAAGAAACAACAAAAGCTTTTATGACCTTGCTAAGATTTACAAATCTGACAGAAACTGGTTCTATTGTGAAAACTTACCGATTTCAATGACACCGAATGAGCAAATAAAGGAAATTGTCAAAAATACTCTTCCTCAAACACACTATGACATCAAAGGTTGCACAATACTTACATTCAAAGAAGACTTACCATTGTTAAAGGAAAAAATAACAGAGTATTTCGATAACTTCAAAGAGGAAGAATGAAAATCTAAGCTAATTTTATTTTTTTTATAAAATTTTATCTCATATGAAAGAACATGAATTTAGAATATTCGGAACTCATGACAGAAGAAGAGAACGAACAACATGTAAAAGATTATGCAAAATTTCTGAAGACATACAAAGCATTTAAACAATATCTAAATGCTTCTAAAGATTATGCAAAATTTCTGAAGGTATATAAAGCTTATGAAAAAGCGTATGAAAAGTTTATACATTGGGGAATTGTTGTAAAATATCCATATGAATACTAACCAAAAATATATTTTTGCTTAAATAGCTTCAGGGTCTATTTCTTCAACCATTTCACTTCCTTCGTCAATGTCAATAGAAGCTTCTTCAACCTTTGGTAAGAATTTCTGTATAACATTTTTGTTCGTTATTGTCTTCAGAGATGAAGGATAATATTTCACATTTGTTTCACCCTTCTTATATTCTTTCTGTTCGGAAAGATTTAAAGCAATACTGAAGAAGTCAATGTTAGAGTTCTTTATGACAGTATAATGAGTATCTTTGACATTCACGAAGAAACTCTTTTGTTTCAAAACTACTGCTAACTCTTGTGAAGTATAACGTTTGCGGTCAATGACAATAGCTAATGGTCTGACATACTGACCAAACTTAGATTCTTTCACAAACTTCTTGTTAAAGATAACATTAACGTTTGAAGCACCATTGAACTCATTCTTGATGGCATTAGCGAGAGCATTGTATGAAAAGAACTTGCAATCTTGCATGTGTTTCATTATAATAAAAATATTAAATTATTTTGAAAAATAACTTAAAAAAATCTAATCTAATTTTTTCAAAAATATTTTTTTTATTTCCTACTAAAGATGTATCGGAAGTTGTCTAAGTTAGAACACTCGGAAATAAAACAACTTCTTACAGAAGCTAACATAGATGTTGCAAAGCATTACGCAACAAACAAAAAAGCACTCGCTGACTTCATTAAAGACTATAATGGTGCAATAAATTATGATAGAATTCATGAGTTCATAAAGCCGCAACGCGGCGAGGACGAAGTCCATGCAATAGCATTTCCTTTAAATGACGTTGCTATTGACTTATATCATAGACGTTCAGTACCTCATGAAGTAAGAAGAGAAATGTTTGACATAACAAATGCAAACGTTGGTCATACTCGTAAAGCTCTTTCGCATGATGTTCGTCAAGAGATGTTTGACATAACAAATGCAAACGTTGGTGAAACAAGAAGAAGAGACGACACACTGAAACAACAGAGAAGAGAGATGTTTAAAAGTGCTATAGAACAAGTTCGTAAAGCTAACGATGTCATTCGTTCCATTGACGACAAACCAAAAGAAGGTGAGAGATGGTTAAAGAAAGATGAAGAGAATAGGAAGAGAAATGTGAAGTCAGGCAATAGACTCATTGACTTTAACATCGAAGCTTTAGATGAACCAAACAGAGACTACTTACACAAACATTTCGGTAAGGTTTTCATGAGACTCTTAGAGAAGATTAAAATAAACTCCCAACAGAGATGGATGGTATGTTATAAACTTGGTGGAAAGTATGAATGTTCTACGTTAAACCTCAATAATATTGGAACACTACTACATCAGCTCTTGAAGGAGAACTTTATATCAGAGATAGAAGCAAATGCTGCAGGTATTGTTGAAATGCACTATGACTTCTTCTTGACAAACATAAAGAATCTTACCGAAATAAAGATGTATGATTTAACAGAATATGAAGGCTTAACGATGTCAGATGTAAAGAAAGGCAAACCAAAAAAGAGACCATATAGAGATGAAAGCACACTGACAAATGACCAGAAAGCCATTTTGGAAGCTCTTAAGCAAACAGGAAACCCAGCACTTATAGAAAGCTTTTGGAAAGATAATGGTGAAAAGAAGTTTTATAAGAAGAGAAGCGGTCAGTTCTGGAAGTATCTTTGCACATTACCTATAAATCTTGAACGCTACCAAATCTTCAATGAACTGAACAAAAGAACTGCAACACTTATGACAGAAGACAATTGTTTCGTTTATGCTTGCATTCAGGCTGGAGTAGATGAAGACTATTGACCACATGAGAGAAGTCATTCGTGTTAGAGACTTTCCTCAAAGTAAAGTACAAGAAATTTCTGACGCAACAGGTATAGCATTTAATGTTACCATTGGTTATTTCAATGACTCAAGACATAATGAAATAAAGAGATACATACCAAAAGAATGTAAACTGTTCGAACTATTGACTTACTTCTTGTTGAAGACCACTACATGCTAAACGAAAGATTACCAATGACAACATATTTCATTCGCAACTATATAGAAATCTTGAAGGAGTGTGGTGGAATGAACATTGAAAAACAGATGAAAATATATACAAAGAGAGATGATAAATATTAGTTCGCATGATAGAACTAACACCGCTATGGGATGTTATGAAAACATTGTGGGAGTGCAAATATTTCGAACCTATTTCTTATGGAGAACTTTTCACATATACGACTGACTTATATAAACAGAACCTTGCACCATTTAAAGATTTGACATATGCTCCAAAGTATTGTGTACAACTGAAGAAGAAAGCAGAGTCAAAAGAAGTAAATAAAAATAAGTGCAAGTTCATTCCTGAGCATGTTTTCTTTGCTGACTTTGAGTGTAGTACCGATGGCTTTCATAAAGCTTTTAACATATGTTACGACAATGAAGATGGTTCAGTGAGTGAAAGCATTTGGGGTCAGAACTGTGCAACAGAATTTTTGGAGCGACTTCCTGACAAGAGTTTAATATATTTCCATAACCTCAGTTATGATATAAACTTCATCTTAAGACACATGACAGAAGTGAAAGGAACTCCCATCATTAAAGGTTCACGAACAATGCAAATAACTGGTTTATATAAAGGAAGGGCAATTATTATAAAAGACTCTTACAGTGTTATAAATAAGAAGCTTAAACTATTTCCTGCTATGTTTAACTTACAAACAGGACCGAAAGAAGTATTTCCATACAACTACTACAGCAGTGTTTTGTTAGCAAATGACAACAGAACTGGTGTCATTTCTGAAGCATGTAAGTTTATCCAGGATGCAAATACATTCATGAAGAACATAGATTCCATCAAAGGTTGCAGAATAGATGAAAACCACTTCGACTTAGAAAAATATAGCACATTTTATTGCAAACAAGATGTAAGAATTTTAAGAGAAGGTTTTGTAAAGTTCCGCAATGACATATTGAAAGAATTTGATTTAAACGTTTATGACTACGTTAGTATTTGTTCTATTGCTAACAAATTGTTTGAGAACAGAGTGTACTTCCCGAATGGAAATCTTTATGACCTCTCAAATAAACCAAGAGAATTTATTTCGAGATGCATTCAAGGTGGAAGATGTATGCTGTCAGATAACATGAAACAAAAGAGCGAAAAGAAACTCATTGCTGACTTCGATGCTGTTTCATTATATCCATCAGCTATAGCAAGATTGTATACTTTAGAAGGAATTCCAAAAGTATTGAAGGATGAGATGTTAAGCACAGAGTATCTCATGAGACATTTATTCGATGACGACCAAAAGGAACCCATTGGTGAAAAGTTTATGTCTGGCTTCTTTGTTCTCATTAAGATAACAGAGATTGGAATACATAGACACTTTCCTTTAATAGTTTGTGACCCTGAACTAAATCCAGAACTTAACGTTCCCAGAAGTTCAAACACTTGCTGTTTAATGTATGTTGACCATATAACATTACAAGACCTCATAAAATATCAAGGTGTCAAATGTGAAGTGTTGCAAGGATACTATTACGATGGAAACAGAGATATTAGAATAAGAGATGAAGTAAAGAAGTTGTTTGAGTTAAGGTTAAAGTATAAGAAAGAAGGAAATCCTTTGCAAGAAAATATAAAGCTCATTCTGAACAGTATTTATGGCAAAACTATTCTATCTCCTATTGAGTCAAAAATAACCATAGTAAATGACAAAGATGCTATAAGATATGCCATCAGAAACTACAACCATATAGTGAAGTTCGAAGGTTTGGATGGTTCAGATAAAACTATTTTCAAGCTAACGAAAAGCATTTGCAGACACTTTAACTTTTGCCCACTTGGTGTAAATATTCTATCAATGTCGAAGAGAATAATGTGTGAAGTATTCTGTACTGCTGAGGACTTAGGAATGGACATCTTTTATAGCGACACCGACAGTATGCATCTCTACAATGAAGATATCCCTCGTTTAGCTGAAGAGTTTGAGAAACGTTATGGAAGAGTTCTCATTGGTAAAAACCTTGGTCAGTTTCATAGTGACTTCGCAGAAATAACACCTGGAAAACAAAGTTTAGCATACAAGTCAATATTTTGTGGAAAGAAGACTTACATAGACTTACTCACGAATGATTTAAATGAAGTTGCATTTCACTGCAGAATGAAAGGCGTGAAGCAAGATGTTATTACTTTAACCGCTAATGAAATGTTTCCTGACTCTGTTCAGTGTTTCTATGATGAAGATAAAGGTTTAATGATTCCGCAAGGAAAATTTGACAAAGACTCTGAGTTCAGTGTTATGAAGTTATATAAAGCACTTCATGATGGTCAAGAGATTGCATTCGACTTATGTAAGTCTTCTAGTCCTTGCTTTGCTGAAAAGTTTAACTTCTCAATAACGACTAAAACAAGCTTTATTCGTAAGTTGAAGTTCTGAGGTCATTTATTTTTGTCAGCAATGAGACCATTCATGATAAAAATAAGCCGCTAGCGGCAAGGGCGAAGCCCATGTGGTCATTTACAATACTGCGATGGTAGAGTTTAAGAGTTGTGCTTCAATGTAGAGACAGTCCTTATGGTCTGGAGGTAAGAACACTGGGCAGTTATGATCATGAGTGGAGAACATGTCTACCCAAAACTCACGATTGAAGCCAGTTAATTTATAGTATTTAGGATTTGGCAGTGGTGAAGTTCTTGTATGACCAATGAACTCATTTTCAACTCCCTTACTTAAGTTTGAATATAATATAGCTTGCTTTCTATCCCAAATGCCAGGTGTTACAATCTTTGAAAATTCATTTTTCCTCGGAAGCATTGCATCATAATTGAAAACATTCTTGAAATCATCACTTGGTTCAGAGATTTGAAATCTTATACGTAATGGATTTTCTTTCTTTAGCTACTTCATTGAATGGTGAGAATACAACAAACTGACAGTCATGAGTTCCATCTTCATTTTCATTAAATTCATAATGAAAGTCTATAAGTTGTGGCTGACTACCTTCTTCTTTCAGTTGTGCAAGAAACTCACGTAAAGGCTGTAAAGTTTGTACTTCAATGTTAAACTTTTTCTCGAACATTTCATTAAATGAAATCATACATTGCAACAATGTTGTATCGTCTTTAAAGTATTTGTATATGTGAATGTTTTGGGCGCTTAAAGACTGTTCGTCATTTTCTATCTCGACTTGAAGTATAAAGTCAACCTTTCTGAAAGCACGTGTTATATACATAGATGTTATGCCAATGTACTTCTCTTCATTTATGTTCACAATCCAGTCTGTTGGAAACTTAAACGTTACTCTGTTCCCCTTTATTTTGACGTCAGGGTTTTCACTACTGAACGCAACAGATAAAGGTATTTGTCTATACATTTAATTCGGATAAAAATAAACCATTTACTCTTTCTTTGCTTCAGCTTCTTTAGCTTTTGCTTCAGCTTCTTCTCTAGCTTTTTCGCCAGCAGTGGGTTCTTTTGTCTTCCAGCAGCTAATGCAGCTAGTTGTTTTTCACTAAGTTTTCTCTTTGGTCTCTCTGGCTTTTGTTCTTGTTTTTGTTCCTTCAGTTCGGATAAAATTTGCTCGCGAATTTCTTTCTTCAATGCTTCAACATCTATGACCCCTTGGGTCTTGTCCGTAGGGCTTGTCTGAGTCATTTGACTGCAGATAAAAAAACAAAATTAAAACTTTAACCGATGTAAAATGAGCTTGTCAAAATCAGAACGAGAGTCTATTATATTAAATGACGCAAGAGGAATACAACATCCTTTCTATTACGTAAGTCAGAGTAAAGATGGTAAAATATACGTAAGAAAAAGAAAGGTTCCATTAGCGAATGCAGAAAGCGACAACATTAAGGTGTATGGCAAGGGTGAAGTCCATATAAAACCTTCTATTCAAACTGAAAAGTCAATAGAACAAGAAGAAAAGAAGCCAGATGTACTTTCAATAACGAACCAAGAGCTTATTGCAAAGTTCGTGAATTTCATTGAAAAACAAACCGAGTCAAAGAACCCTGACCCACCAGTGAAAGAAGTTGAGACAAAAGAGAATGTACAGTTCATTGAAAATGTCAAGAAACAACCTCCACCACGAATGCCAAGAAGAAGAGTGAGAATAATGAAGTAAATAGATATTTTTATCCGAAGTAAATACATGCAGAACGAACAGTTAAACGAATTTACTCCAGCAGAGCATATTCATCAGATTCGCTCATATTTCGATATCATAGACAATGCAGTTCAAATTGGTGACACTAATAGAAAATATTCTGACGCAAAGATTCCATCACAACCTGGAACTGCTAAAGATAACACATGGGTAACATTCAATCTCTCACCTCCTGGTGAAAATATGTTGGACCTTTACAATACATTCATTACGTATAAAATGGAAGGTCAATTTATTGTAGATAAAGAAATTGGTTCAGGTTCCAATAAAACAAACCCACCAGGATTTTGGATTGGTTTCGATGACGCTTTCTATGCAGTTGCTGGATATCAAATCCTTGCAAATGGTCGTATCGTATATTCTCAAGACAACGCAAGAGAAGAAGCATATATAACTTCAAACTCACAAACTACCGAACAAATAAAGAAAGTAGATGTTTTCTCAAAGACTCGACATGAAGATGTATGGAGTCATTCGGGAACATGCAGAACAGGACAAATTGTTAGTGGTCCAATTACAGCAGGAAAATCATTTGATTTTAAGCTTCGTTTAAGAATTCCTGTTAGAAGATTCCTTCCATTAGAAGCTATTCGATTTATTCCAGCTTTTGCAGGAAACATTCAGCTTAAAGTAAAGTTCAGTAGCGACGCCTTACAATGCACATCTATATCTGTAAATGATATCATTGCTTTCAATCCAACTCTTAAAGTTGCATTTGCTTCAGATTCAAATCCACCGACAAATAAATTTGTTCCATGGAATGAACCATTCACTATGATAACGAAGGCAGTAGAAGCTAGTGGAACAGTTACTATTACAACTGTAACCCAGCAACTATTTCGAACAAAGATGGATTTTAATGAATGTTTCATTCATCCAAAGTCATTCTCTTTAGACCCTAACATTTATACAGAACTTGTAGAACATTATACAAACGAGGCTTTATGTTTTCCTGTTAAAGTTATGGATTGGATTCCTATGGACGGTTCATTCTCAAAGAATACAGATAGTTCAAGTGCAACATTTACAGCAGCTTATACGCCTATTAATGTTAAAAGTATTTGGGCACTATTTAGAAAGAAAGACAACTATTATGTTAATTTTGAGAACCCTAAGTTTAAATATCTTCAGCTTTCCATGGGAGCTTATGGAAATATGCCTGCAGAACCTGAAAAATCATATGGACCTGTATTTTATGAAATGGTTGCGAACGCTTGCAATACAAACAATGATATGATTGGATTTAATGAAGATGTTATGAGGTCATTGGTGGATGATGGTAGTGTGGAACATAAATGGGATAGCTATGACAACACACATTTCTTATGTGGTTTTCCAACAGAAGTGGACTTTTGCTTCCAGCAAGGTCAAACATCTACTGCTCCAATAACATACAAATTGTCTGTTAAAGGACCTATTGAACTAGCAACTGAAAACGTACCAAAGCCACTTATTGGATTTATGAGGGATTGTTGCTTTGCCATTCAGGTGCGTGCTAATGGCATCCCATAATAAGATTAGATGACTATAACTTAGCTACGGACGACAGTGAGGAATAAAGGATGAACGTTTATTTTTAAAGCTTATAAATGAGTTCTTCATCAAGCTCTCGTGAACCTTCACCATCTATGAAACAAACTTTACCAAACGATTATGGAGCACCTATTGAATATTTCTTACGAGCTGCACAATGGCAAAGAGCAGTCTCACCAAGGTTAGGTGTTCCACCAGCTCCTGTCAAAAATAGCATTTGGTCAAGTCCTTATATAAATATGGTCTCCCACTAGGTTTGCTAGCTACAGCAGGAGCAGTAATGATGTTGAAAAGAAATAAAGCAAATGTTGTAAATAATACTGAAGTAGCTGAAGTTAAACAAACTCCGACACCATCGCCAAACCAACGCCTTCACAAAAACAACCCTTCAATGACTCCTGAACCTATGGAATACAAACTCCTGTTCAAAAGTCAACTCCAAAACCGACTCCAACATTTAAACCAGAACCTACACCACAAATAAATCGTAAAACTCCTGCGTTTCCTTACTGAAAAAATAACGTTATTTTTATTTAATATTAAAATTTTTATTTGATTGAAATGACGACTAAAGTCACTGAAGCAATGAAACAAAAGTTTTTGGTAGAATACATTAAATCAGGAATTATTCCAGAAGGTTTTTACATTCATACTATGAAGGATGGTAGAGTTCAGTTTAGAAAGATAAAGCAACCATTAGATAAAGAAGGAATTTTGAGAAAGATTAAACTTCATGAGGACAACATTGCTGAACTTAAGAAGAAGTTAGAAGAGTTGGAGAAAGCAGACGACAGTGAGGAATAAAGCAATGAATTCAACAGGGTGAAAAAAGAGGTGAGAAAACAGGTGAGATCTCACCACTTCACCTAAATTTATTTTTGTGCTATGTTTTCATACGTGTGAGGGTGGTGATATCATTTATTTTTAAGTTTATTTTTTTATTTTATTTGGATGTAAATGACGAAAACTATTGAGATAACAAACTACAACGGTCATGAGTTCAAGAATTTGTTCTTCGTTCCTCGTGAAAATACATTCTATCAGATACGAGGGAGAAAGGGTAAAGTTAGTTTGAGCGTTTATGAAGGAATGAAGAATGGAAAGTTTATACAAGCATACGATACAAACGGTAAACGTGTTTCATTAGCTTTGTCAAAACTTACTAACATTTATTTTGACGGTGATTTTGACCTATATGAAGAAGAAAGTGAGTCAGAAGATTATGAGCTGTTATGTGAAGCACAGCAATGGGAGGAGTTGCAATACTTTTGTAAGTGAGAACGCTTATTTTTTACATTAGTGAGGTGAAGTGGTTGGTGGCTTTATAAATATTTAAGGTTAAGTTAGTGTTGTCGTTTGTGTTGTAAAATATACGTTACCGGTTTTGTAAAGTGTCAAAACCGCTAAGTGGTGTACGGAGGCGCGCAGTGCCTCAGTACACGACTTAGCCATACTAACTCTCATTCGTCATATACTCATAACAGAGCGTTTAGGAAACGACTCTTACTATGACCAAATCATTATATCAGCAACTTCAGACTCTATGGACTCAACAGCGAAAACATTTATGTCAAAAGTTCAATCCTCTGTCGTTAAAGTTCCAGACAGTGAACTCATTGAATTTCTTCAACGTTACATTCAACGTAAGAGAAAATATTATGCCATCGTTGAATTTATACAGTCAGGAATGCAAAAGACTTCTGAGGAGATGGAAAGAATTATTGACAAACACCACTTACGTCAATACTCAGGAGTTTACGATATGAAACGACTTACAAACTACATTCTGTCAAAACTTTCAAAATACCCCTTCAAAAAATATCCTTCAAACACTCTGCTCGTTTGCGACGACTTCGCCGGAAAAGGTTTAGTGTCAAAACCAGACTCACCATTAGCTAACATCATTACTAAAGTCAGACATTACCACTTAACTGTAGCAATACTTATGCAAACATGGAGGTTTTTAGCTTTAAACATAAAACGTCTCATAACTGACTTCGTTATCTTTCAAGGTTTCTCACGTTATGATATTGAACTCATTTGGAAACAGTCAGGTATAACATTACCTTTTGAAGAAATTTGGGAAGCATATAAGTCTCTCATCTCTCCTCGTTCATACCTTGAGATTCATATCATGACTAATACCATTAAAGTCAAAAATATTCCATGGGAACGACCAACATTGTTTTAAAGTTTAACCTTCAATTGACTGATGGTAAACAAATTCCATGCATCTCTGTCGCCATTTCTGTTAATATTTTTGCTGTCATTCATATCATCCACTTCCCCAGCCGTTAGCTTTTGAGGATATGTGTTAGAATAGCTGTTCTTAAATGAAGGCTTCTCTCCCTTGAGAGCATAAACTCTATAACTTTCTGCATACTTTATGTTTGAACCTCCTGAGCCATCATTGACATAAATTTTTATAGGCTTCCACCCTTTGTTCATATTCCTGCTTCTTCCCTTAGCTCTTTTGTTCAGTAGTTCTACATCTTTATACACAGCACCTGTCTCAGTGAATTCAACAATATTTTCATTCGTTAGCTTTACATTCAAACCCTTGTCGAGTATATTGTTCATTTCATACATATAAAAGGTTTTATTCTATATGAAATGAGAAGCAAATCCATCTTAGCTGGTGCCGTTAATGTTCCAATTGAACCAACATCAAATGTTGACTCACGAACGACAAACAATATTGTCATAAAGAACTATAGTTCAGAGTGTTTGAAAGAAAAAGAACCAGAACTTAAGTCGGTGAATTTAAACACAGCTTCAAACGCTAACGCTACATCAGATGTTAAGTTAGAGTATCCACCACTGGACCAAATTCTTTCAAGAGAAGCCAACGACAACCCTTACACAAATGTTCAAACAAATCCTTCAGATAACGTAGACCATTACCTTCTTCAGTATACCAAACAATTTTACTCAAAGACGATAAGAAGCTTTTGGTAAATCTTATAAGCAAGAACCAAATAATTCTAACAAAGGAGGACCTTGAAAATGTTATATCACGAATAACAGGGAAACAATGTGTCATTGACTATCTCGACCCTGAAATCGAATGCTGTGGTCAAACGCCACCATTCATGAAAATAGGTAACATCCGCGTCATTGAAACACCAGGAACTACAGGAGTTGAGTTTAAGTATAAATATTCGAACGAGTATACAAAACTTTCAACAGAATATAAACTTTGCTTGAAATATGTTTTAGTAAATTAAAGCAATTTGTAATATCTATCCAAAACTTCTTCAACAGTATCGAACTCATCTTCATAATGCAAACCTAATCTTATTGACTTGGTGCAGTTTTCACTAACACAATATTTTTCTGTTCTCTTGACTGACATAACTAATTCATTTGTTTCATCAAACAGCAACAACCAAAGTTCATGACCTAATACATAACATTCATACTTTATATTTTTAGCTCTGAGTTCTCCTGTAAGCTGTTGCATTTAATATTTTCTAAAAAGTCAACTTCAACAGTCATTCGCACTGGTGCCTTCAGTTCTACAGGCTCTCCTTGAAAGTCAACAAGTCTGAATTGCATGTCTTTCAAATTATGAGGACTAATGCGAACCCATTTACCTAAATGAGTTGCTATGACAGGAACGTTTGGAATGAACATTGAATTGACTGCATAACAGAAGGATTTATATTCTACTGAACCTTTACTATTAACTCCTGAAATGCCTGTGACATTAGCTATTTTAGACTCAATGTATAAACAATTACCATAACATACGTATGGAACAGATTTCATCTCAATCGTTTTGTCAACACTTTTCAAAGGAAATGTCATATGGTATGCACCCAAAAGAAGTTGTACTCTATGACTCATTCTTGGTATCTTAAACTCCTTCGCATAACTGAACTTCAAAACTCCTGCAATAAGTTTAACATTCATTAAGTTTTCTTCGTTATCCTTGTTTTTGTAGTATTTATGAGAGCATTTAACACTCCAGCTAATGTTTCCATCTTATATTCTACATTATTGTGAAATCTTATTTCGTGCTTCTTTCCATCTATTTCAATCTCCATGAAATCTGTTTCATCTGTTATAACGAATGAAGCGATAGTATTGAAGTCAACCATTCTGAATGCAAGCGCCTCATTCTGTAGACCTAAGTTTGTTTGTAGCTTTACTGTCCCGTATTCGTTTGGGTCTGTACTTTGCAAATAGAACAACATTTTATTCTCATTAAAATATGAGTATAGCTGCATATGCGTATGAAGCTGACAGAGCTAAACGTTTATATTTTGGTCAATACTCTCTCACACTTACTGACAAATATATTGTTATCACTGATGGAAATACTGAGAAATACATAACATGGAAGGACTATGAAAAGTTTGACCCTATTTTAACTCCATGTACTATGCCGTTTATAAAGGACGGTGAAATTATTGAAAAAGATAATACAACCGTATATAGGTCTGTTTATGAAGCATTAGAATATATGTTGAATCATAACCCAAAAAGATTTGACCCAAGCACTACACCATGTGCAATGCCTTTTATTAAGGACGGTGAAATCGTAAGAGTTCCGGATTCAACGGTTTACACAGCTGTTCAAAACAGTTTACAAAACATTTTAGCGAATATCTTTAATTCAGAAACTACAGAAATAAAATTACCGTATATAACAGATGCTAAAGAAATTAAATCAAAAACGACAACATTATTTACGTCACTTAATGATTTAATGACTTATATCATTAATATTCCTGCACCAACTACAGCATTTGATCCAAACTCGACGGTTTGCAGTGTACCTTTCATAAATGACAGTTCATTAATTACTTTAAGGGATTCGACAGTAAATGAATCATTAAAGGCGTCATTAATGAAAATCATTGATTTTAATTCATTCACGAATACATATAATTCATTCATTAATGTTTCATATGCTTCTAAAGAAGGTGAGCCAAAAACTATCGATAAAGCGGTGTATGAAATAAAAGCATCAACGACGAAATTGAATTCGTTAACTTTTGACGGTGATAGTTTCGTTAATGACATAACATCGGGGAAAACAATTTTAACGAAAGAATACTTAAAATCTCATGTTAGTGAGTTCGTTGAAATTGAAAAAGAAGGTGGAATTAAGTTCGATCCACTGAATTTCATTTTCAGCTTAGCGAATGCGGGTGTTAGTTTCGCTGAATGGACAACTATACAGAGTGAAATAAATGCAATATGGACGTTTTTGGGGTCAAAAGCGGGAATGGATGAGCTTGTAAATGCTGCAAGAACATTAGGTGAAACAGGAAATTTTGTAGATGGTTTTAAAAGACTTGTTTCAAATGTTTTAACAAACGCAAAGAAATTATTTAGATATACCGTACATAACGGACGGATTTTCGAACAGATAGCAACAAACCCTCCGGTTATGGCTGCGTTGATGATGGTTAGAGATATAAAACCACGTAACGACGGGAACGAAGAACATGAACAACAGGATACTGGTCGGGTTATTCGAGACATTAAAAACGTGTATCCTGAAGTTATTGATTTATTTAGAGGAGTTAATGATTCAATTTCAAAACATTCTATAACCCTCGATGAAGAGAATAAATTAACAGATTATATATTCGTCATTATTGCAGAATTAATGAAGAGAATAAATGAAAAAGGAATTGGTGATATCATTAATGTCAGCGATGTAATGATGAAAAGAAATTTTGACTCATTATTTACAAAACCGAAAACAGAATATAGTCTTTATGACGTAATTACCGAATTAATGAAAAAGATTAATGATAATAAGAGTTCTGGCGGAAGAGTTGAATTAGAAGTGAATGATGTTAATGAGAAATTAGCCGAAAAAGCAGACAAAAATGAGCTTTTAGCTCTGAGTGATAAAGTCAAGAACCACGTTCATTATATAACTTCAGACGAACAGATTATAATGGACTACCATGGATATTTAACACGAAGTGATGAAGCGAAGACAAAAAATGTTAATGAAAGAAGATATAAATACATTCGTGCTAAAGGTTATGACATAAGCTGTACTGTACAGTATGATGTAGCTAAAGCACCAGAAGCATTTGGTTATACCGGTGAAATTTATGCCTCTACTTTCAATGTTAACGGTGTATTAGTTGAACCAAGATTTACTTTGAGAGTTAAGTCAAAAATAACTTTTGAAGATGCTATTAAAAGTAAAGCTGACAAAGTTGAACTTGACGCAATGAACAAAGTTTTGAAATCTCATAAACACAACATCTCCGATATAAATGAACTTCAAGCTACATTAAATAGTAAAGCCGACAAGAACCATACACATAAATCCTTCACTACTGTTAGAGCAGACGACATAATATTGAACTATACCCTTGGTTCAAGTGCACCTTTAGAGAATCCGAGTACAAGCGTAAAAGATATACTAAACTCCTTAAATAGTAAATGTATGAACATTGAAGGTCATGTCAGAAACTTTGAAACACATGAACTACCAGCAATGTTAGATAAGAAAGCAGATAAAGAACATACACATAAATCCTTCACTACTGTTAGAGCAGACGACATAATATTGAACTATACCCTTGGTTCAAGTGCACCTTTAGAGAATCCAAGTACAAGCGTAAAAGATACACTAAACTCCTTAAATAGTAAATGTATGAATATCGAAGATCATGCCAGAAACTTTGAAGCATATGAACTACCAACAATGTTAGATAAGAAAGCCGACAAGAACCATACACATGAAGAATTTCAAACAATCAGGATTAAAGAAATTAAGGCATGCATTGAAGAAGTAACAAAAACAGGAAGAAACGGTGCAACTGTACATGAACAAAGAATTTATCCTCCTACTTTTCCTAATGGTTTAATAACAAACAATATAAATATTGTAGATGGCAAAAGATTTATAAATGTTAAACATGAACTTCTAACAATGAAGACTGAAATACTTCAAACATTATATCCTGTTGGTTCTATTTATACGTCAATGAATTCAACAAATCCAGCAAGTGTTTTAGGTTTTGGTACGTGGAAGCAGATTGTAGATAAATTCTTATACTGTGCTAACTCTTCAAAACAAACAGGAGGTTCGAAGAAAATTACTGAAGCAAACTTACCCGCGCACACTCATACAGGAACTACAAACACAACAGGTAATCATTCACATTCAATAACAAAAAGAGGTTATACAAATCTTGCAGCAGGTTCGGATAGACAGGGAATGCATAGATATGATATTTCAAGTGACCCAGTAGATTCAAGCACAGGTATTTTCTGTGGAACCACAGGAAATCATTCACACACTTTCACAACAAATCCAACAGGCTCGGGTGCAGATTATATGCCACCATTTGTGACTATATTCGCATGGTACCGCGTTCATTGAACGCGCTTGAGCCTAGAATAAAATCTTTAACTTTACATAAATGAGCTTGAAAGAAGTATTTGAACAACATCCATGGAGGTCATTTAAGAAGTTCAATGAAGCCGCAAAGAGTTGGGGATTTACTAACAGAGCTGAAGTGAAAAGGTTCTTTGACAAAAATGTTGTACATCAAACAAAAATAAACCCTTACGACTACTTTTTACCAATTTACTCCAACACTCCTGACGCATACCAATTTGACACTCTCATTCAAAGCAGAAAAGGAGGACATAAACCATTCCTCATCTTCATTAATGTTAACACTCGTAAAGCTTTTGCGTATATAATGAAAAATAAAGGAACTCATGAAGTTTTAAGAGTTTTACAAAAGTTTGTAGCAGAACATAGCCCAAGTACTTTAACATCAGACCAAGACAGTGCATACCTCAGCAATGAAATCACAGATTTTCTCATTAAGCATAACATAACTCACTACACTACTGAAGACCATAACCATAACATACTCGGCATCATAAACCGCTTCATAAGAACGCTCAGAGATTTAAATCAAGAGCGAGACTTTACCGAAGAAACAATGAAACATTTTCTCGAAGTATATAATTCCTCAACACATTCTACAACAGGACATACACCAAATTCAATGACACAACAACAAGAAGAAAAGTATATACAAAAGAAACGAAGCCAAACACAAAATATCAGAAATTCAACACAATTTACCCTCATTCCTGGTACAAAAGTTCGTGTAGTTCTTGACGACAAACCGTTGACAAAGAAACGTTTAAGGTTAAGTAGAAACTATTATATCGTAGACTCTACGCAAGGTAATGGATATCTTATAAAAGCTGCTGACGACTCTATTGCGTTTTACCCTCGACATAAATTAGTTGAAAGTAGTAATGGCAAACTTGCTGAAACCATTGACGAAGCAAAGCGAGGAGTGGTTATTGAAATACTTGGCTATAACATAAACGATGACACTTATAAAGTAAGATATGAAGGAGGCGTTGAAGATGTTATACCATCTAAGAACTTGAGAGAGTCAAAGTCAACACATCTGGGACCATTAGAGCGGGAGTACTGGAAAGACAAAAATAAGCCAGAAAGAATAAGAAAATTCTTCTAAACTTTTTCATTAGATGTAAATCAGACATGAATGACAACAGTCATGATATCATTAATGGTACCATTTATTTTTGTCATAAATTTACACCAAAAATATATTTTAGGTGAAGAGGTGAGATCTCACCCGTTTTTTCACCTCTTTTTTCACCCTCACGAATTTTCATGAATTTCCTTAAGATAGAAAAAATAAAGTTAGTTTTATTTTTATTTATTTTTTTATTTTGTATAAAATCCTAGTCACGTCAATGTTGGTAGAGATGAAAAACTTCATTCCTTCTTCATATACTTTCGAAACAAAAATCCAGAAGATAAAGCAAGAACTGTTAACAAGTAATTTAGACTGTACCGCACAGGATGAAGAAAATGAAGAATATCTTTATGACATGCAGGACCTCATCGACCATTTACCTAAACTACCTGAAATTCAGCAACAAAAACTAACCATTCCCGAATTTGACGAAATTGAAGTCAAAGCAACTGACTCAGTAGAAATAAAGAAGTTCATACGAAAGGTAAACTATGAGTTTCTAGGATATCATTGCAACCATAAAGTTATGGACAAAGATTGCGACATGGTTTATAAAAATATTTCTGACCTTTACAAATCCGAAGAATTTAAGACATACGACAACTTTGTTTCATTAATTGCAGAATGTGTATGGCAGATAAGAGATAAAGATAGAAGAGGTAAAGTATGGAATGAACAGATAAAACCAGCAGCTTTTGAGTTAAAGAAAACCATTGACGCCTTATTTGTTCTAGCTGGTTTTATTTCAATGTATAACGCAAAAATGATGCCGCAATGTTCAAAATGTAAAGCAGCAATAAGAAAATATAACTACTCAGTCAAAGAGATAGAAAGAATGCAAAACGACTATGCAGACTTAAAGAAAGAAGCAGAAAAGCCAGCAGAAGATAAAATGGATATGTTGACATTTCTTAATAAAAACTATTCAACAGCAGAAGATTTCCTTCTGTCTGACGTCAAGAAGAAGTATAAAGAAACTTTCGGTATCGTTAAAACATTCGATGTACTAAAAGAAGAAATAGAAGCTACGAAACTGTTTAGGATTTCAAATATACATCGTACAATTCATGTGAAACGCTTGTGAAAAAACAGGTGAGAAAACGGGTGAGATCTCACCTCTTCACCTCAACATTATTTTTGCTGAAAAATGACCAAATTTCATGAATTTTCATAAAAGATAAAAATAAAGTTAGTTTTATTTTTATTTATTTTTTATCTTGTATGTAAAGACAGTAATGTCAAACATTGAGTTTGAAACAGTAAGAAAGATTGACAATGACACCAAAGTGGTTAGAATTGGTGATTTAAACGTAAGATACTGTAAGAAATACAACAAATATTCTTTGTCAGACATTATAACACCTTCTGGAAAGAAAACAAAGGACTGGGTTAGAATTGCTTCTACTCAGAAAATTTTGACAAGAAATCCTGAGCTCATGATATCGGTAAGATTCTATGGAACTACAGCATATCTCATTGACAAAAGTCTTATACCAATAATTCTTCTGTGGATTGACCCTGTTGTTGGATATAACTTCATAACTTATGGTTCATTCGACTCAGAACGTTGCAGTGAAGGCTTACTTTACATCGTTCAGAAACCGAAGGACTTCAATACAAAGAGATATAAGATAGGAAGAACATATAATATAACTCAAAGATATGACAGTACAGTCAATAGAGTCAAGGTTGTGTTCGTTAATGATATGAGAGCTGCTGAAACAGAACTGCTTGAAGTTTTTGAGAAAATGTATGGTGCTCCCATAAAAGGTAAAGAAACGTTTGAAGTAGATGAGATAGATAAAGCTATAAAATTATTTGACGAAGTTGCTGAAAAATACATGTAAAGCGTTTATTTTTGTCTTTTGTGAAAGTCAGAAAATAACGCTAATTTTTTCCTAACAAAAATTTTTATCTTGTATGTAAAGACAGTAATGTCAACATCAGAGAACACAACAACTGCTATCGTTCATGAAGCCATAAATGAAGAATACGAGTACATACAGTATAACAAACAGTTACGTCTCATTCGTTCAGTCAAAGACGATATGTACCAAATGCAAAGTATAATGAATGCTCTTCGATCTACAAAGCAAGCATATCATTGGTTTGAAAACCAACAGACAAAAGAACTTTTAGAAGAATTTTCCTCATATAATTGCTTTGGCAGAATGAAGAGATTCCGTATGAAAATCGCAAGAATTTGGCTCCTTGTTTGAAAGGTTATTATGTTCATAGACTTTTAGTAAACGCTGTAGCAATGTGGGCTTCACCTCGTTATGCTTGTTATATTTTTCATGATGTTAGATGAACTATATAAAGCAAAAGATGAAGTCATTGAATCCAAAGACAAAAGCATACAGAAAAGAATACCGCGTTCAGTACCAAAAGGAAAGGAAAAGAGTTATAGGTATATGATATATACTGAAGAATTGGAGAAAGAAGAAGATAAAGATATGGTTATGTTGCATTTAGTCAGAAGAAACAACAAGAGCTTTTATGACTTAGCTAAAATATATAAATCTGACAGAAACTGGTTCTATCGTGAAAACTTACCGATTTCAATGACACCGAATGAGCAAATAAAGGAAATTGTCAAAAATACTCTTCCTCAAACACACTATGACATCAAAGGTTGCACAATACTTACATTCAAAGAAGACTTAACATTACTGAAGGAAAAAATAACAGAATATTTCGATAACTTCAAAGAGGAAGAATGAAGTCACGACAACATTAACGAAGAGAGAATGAGGTGAAAAAGAGGTGAAAAAACGGGTGAGATCTCACCTCTTCACCTAAAATATATTTTTGTGCTATATTTACACTCATTTACGAAGAAGTCATGAATCCTACGTCAATTATGTTCGACCTGATAACATTAACGATAACATTAAATAACATAAACGATAACATTAACGATAACATAAACGATAACATAAATGCTCCATGTCAATTATGTTCGACACTGATAACATTAACGATAACATTAACGATAACATAAACGATAACATTAACGATAACATAAACGATAACATAAATGCTCCATGTCAATTATGTTCGACACCGATAACATTAACGATAACATTAACGATAACATAAACGATAACATTAACGATAACATAAACGATAACATTCATTTTTGCATTAATCCTGCTGTGTTGTCAAAATGTCATGTTGTCATCATTTTTAAAAGAAGTTAATTAACCTGGTGACATGGTGACGTAGTGACACCATCAGTTATTCAAAAATATATTTTTGCTTAAATAGCTTCAGGGTCTATTTCTTCAACCATTTCACTTCCTTCGTCAATGTCAATAGAAGCTTCTTCAACCTTTGGTAAGAATTTTTGTATAACATCTTTGTTCGTTATTGTCTTCAGAGATGAAGGATAATATTTCACATTTGTTTCACCCTTCTTATATTCTTTCTGTTCGGAAAGATTTAAAGCAATACTGAAGAAGTCAATGTTAGAGTTCTTTATAACAGTATAGTGTGTATCTTTGACATTCACGAAGAAACCCTTTTGTTTCAAAACTACTGCTAACTCTTGTGAAGTATAATGTTTGCGGTCAATGACGATAGCTAATGGTCTGACATACTGACCAAACTTAGATTCTTTCACAAACTTCTTGTTAAAGATAACATTAACATTTGAAGCATTATTGAACTCATTCTTGATGGCAGTAGCGAGAGCATTGTATGAAAAGAACTTGCAATCTTGCATGTGTTTCATTAAAATAAAAATATTAAATTATTTTGAAAAATAACTTTAAAAAATCTAATCTAATTTTTTCAAAAAAATATTTTTTTTATTTCCTACTAAAGATGTATCGGAAGTTGTCTAAGTTAGAACACTCGAAATAAAACAACTTCTTACAGAAGCTAACATAGAAGTAGCAAAACATTACGCAACAAACAAAAAAGCACTCGCTGACTTCATTAAAGACTATAATGGTGCAATAAGTTATGATAGAATTCATGAGTTCATAAAGCCGCAACGCGGCGAGGACGAAGTCCATGCAAGAGCATTTCCTTTAAATGACATTGCTATTGACTTATATCATAGACGTTCAGTACCTCATGAAGTAAGAAGAGAAATGTTTGACATAACAAATGCAAACGTTGGTGAAACAAGAAGAAGAGACGACACACTGAAACAACAGAGAAGAGAGATGTTTAAAGTGCTATAGAACAAGTTCGCAAAGCTAACGATGTCATTCGTTCCATTGACGACAAACCAAAAGAAGGTGAGAGATGGTTAAAGAAAGATGAAGAGAATAGGAAGAGAAATGTGAAGTCAGGCAATAGACTCATTGACTTTAACATCGAAGCTTTAGATGAACCAAACAGAGACTACTTACACAAACATTTCGGTAAGGTTTTCATGAGACTCTTAGAGAAATTAAAATAAACTCCCAACAAAGATGGATGGTATGTTATAAACTTGGTGGAAAGTATGAATGTTCTACGTTAAACCTCAATAATATTGGAACATTACTACATCAGCTCTTGAAGGAGAACTTTATATCAGAGATAGAAGCAAATGCTGCAGGTATTGTTGAAATGCACTATGACTTCTTCTTGACAAACATAAAGAATCTTACTGAAATAAAGATGTATGATTTAACAGAATATGAAGGCTTAACGATGTCAGATGTAAAGAAAGGCAAACCAAAAAAGAGACCATATAGAGATGAAAGCACACTGACAAATGACCAGAAAGCCATTTGGAAGCTCTTAAGCAAACAGGAAACCCAGCACTTATAGAAAGCTTTTGGAAAGATAATGGTGAAAAGAAGTTTTATAAGAAGAGAAGCGGTCAGTTCTGGAAGTATCTTTGCACATTACCTATAAATCTTGAGCTACCAAATCTTCAATGAACTGAACAAAAGAACTGCAACACTTATGACAGAAGACAACTGCTTCGTTTATGCTTGCATTCAGGCTGGAGTAAATGAAGAAACTATTGACCACATGAGAGAAGTCATTCGTGTTAGAGACTTTCCTCAAAGTAAAGTACAAGAAATTTCTGACGCAACAGGTATAGCATTTAATGTTACCATTGGTTATTTCAATGACTCAAGACATAATGAAATAAAGAGATACATACCAAAAGAATGTGAAACTGTTAGAACTATTGACTTACTTCTTGTTGAAGACCACTACATGCTAAATGAAAGATTACCAATGACAACATATTTCGTCAGAAATTACAAAGAAATTCTCAAAGCTTGTGGTGAATGAACATTGAGAAACAAATGAAGATTTATACAAAGAGAGAAGATAAATATGTAGTTCGTTATGATAGAACAACACCGTTATGGGATGTTATGAAAACATTATGGGAGTGCAAATATTTCGAACCTATTTCTTATGGAGAACTTTTCACATACGACTGACTTATATAAACAGAACCTTGCACCATTTAAAGATTTGACATATGCTCCAAAGTATTGTGTACAACTGAAGAAGAAAGCCGAGTCAAAAGAAGTAAATAAAAATAAGTGCAAGTTCATTCCTGAGCACGTTTTCTTTGCTGACTTTGAGTGCAGTACCGATGGCTTTCATAAAGCTTTTAACATATGTTATGACAGTGAAGATGGTTCAGTGAGTGAAAGCATATGGGGTCAGAACTGTGCAACAGAATTTTTGGAGCGACTTCCTGACAAGAGTTTAATATATTTCCATAACCTCAGTTATGATATAAACTTCATCTTAAGACACATGACAGAAGTGAAAGGAACTCCCATCATTAAAGGTTCACGAACAATGCAAATAACTGGCTTATATAAAGGAAGGGCAATTATTATAAAAGACTCTTACAGTGTTATAAATAAGAAGCTTAAACTATTTCCTGCTATGTTTAACTTACAAACAGGACCGAAAGAAGTATTTCCATACAACTACTACAGCAGTGTTTTGTTAGCAAATGACAACAGAACTGGTGTCATTTCTGAAGCATGTAAGTTTATCCGGGATGCAGATACATTCATGAAAAACATAGATTCCATCAAAGGTTGCAGAATAGATGAGAACCACTTCGACTTAGAAAAGTATAGCACATTTTATTGCAAACAAGATGTAAGAATTTTAAGAGAAGGTTTTGTTAAGTTCCGCAATGACATATTGAAAGAATTTGATTTAAACGTTTATGACTACGTTAGTATTTGTTCAATTGCTAACAAATTATTTGAGAACAGAGTGTACTTCCCGAATGGAAATTTATATGACCTCTCAAATAAACCAAGAGAATTTATTTCACGCTGTATTCAAGGTGGAAGATGTATGCTGTCAGATAACATTAAACAAAAGAGCGAAAAGAAACTCATTGCTGATTTCGACGCTGTTTCATTATATCCATCAGCTATAGCAAGACTTTATACTTTAGAAGGTATTCCAAAGGTTATGAAAAAAGAAATGTTAAGCACAGAGTATCTCATGAGACATTTATTCGATGACGACCAAAAGGAACCCATTGGTGAAAAGTTTATGTCCGGCTTCTTTGTTCTCATTAAGATAACAGAGATTGGAATACATAGACACTTTCCTTTAATAGTTTGTGACCCTGAACTAAATCCAGAACTTAACGTTCCCAGAAGTTCAAACACTTGCTGTTTAATGTATGTTGACCATATAACATTACAAGACCTCATAAAATATCAAGGTGTCAAATGTGAAGTGTTGCAAGGATACTATTACGATGGAAACAGAGATATTAGAATAAGAGATGAAGTAAAGAAGTTGTTTGAGTTAAGGTTAAAGTATAAGAAAGAAGGAAATCCTTTGCAAGAAAATATAAAGCTCATTCTGAACAGTATTTATGGCAAAACTATTCTATCTCCTATTGAGTCAAAAATAACCATAGTAAATGACAAAGATGCTATAAGATATGCCATCAGAAACTACAACCATATAGTGAAGTTCGAAGGTTTGGATGGTTCAGATAAAACTATTTTCAAGCTAACGAAAAGCATTTGCAGACACTTTAACTTCTGTCCACTTGGTGTTAACATTCTGTCTATGTCGAAGAGAATAATGTGTGAAGTATTCTGTACTGCTGAAGACTTAGGAATGGACATCTTTTATAGCGATACGGACAGTATGCATCTCTACAATGAAGATATCCCTCGTTTAGCTGAAGAGTTTGAGAAACGTTATGGAAGAGTTCTCATTGGTAAAAACCTTGGTCAATTTCATAGCGACTTTGCAGAAATCACACCTGGAAAACAAAGTTTAGCATACAAGTCAATATTTTGTGGAAAGAAGACTTACATAGACTTACTCACGAATGATTTAAATGAAGTTGCATTTCACTGCAGAATGAAAGGTGTGAAGCAAGATGTTATTGCTTTAACCGCTAATGAAATGTTTCCTGACTCTGTTCAGTGTTTCTATGATGAAGATAAAGGTTTAATGGTTCCGCAAGGAACATATGACAAAGACTCTGAGCTCAGTTTAATGAAACTTTACAAAGCACTTCATGATGGTCAAGAGATTGGATTTGACTTATGTAAGTCATGTCAACCTTGCTTTGAAGAGAAGTTTAACTTCTCAATAACGACTAAAACAAGCTTTATTCGTAAGTTGAAGTTCTGAGGTCATTTATTTTTGTCAGCAATGAGGTCATTCGTGATAAAAATAAGCTCATGTGGTCATTTACAATACTGCGATGGTAGAGTTTAAGAGTTGTGCTTCAATGTAGAGACAGTCCTTATGGTCTGGAGGTAGCAAAACAGGTGCTTTATGGTCATGAGTGGAGAACATGTCTATCCAAAACTCACAATTGAAGCCAGTTAATTTATAGTATTTAGGGTTAGGAAGTGGTGAAGTTCTTGTATGACCAATGAACTCATTTTCAACTCCTTTACTTAAGTTTGAATATAATATAGCTTGCTTTCTATCCCAAATACCTGGAAATCTAATTGAAAATTCATTTTTCCTCGGAAGCATTGCATCATAATTGAAAACATTCTTGAAATCATCACTTGGTTCAGAGATTTGAAATCTTATACGTAATGGATTTTCTTCTTTTTTTAGCTACTTCATTGAATGGTGAGAATACAATGAATTGACAGTCATGAGTTCCATCTGCATTTTCATTAAATTCATAATGAAAGTCTATAAGTTGTGGCTGACTACCTTCTTCTTTCAGTTGTGCAAGAAACTCACGTAAAGGCTGTAAAGTTTGTACTTCAATGTTAAACTTTTTCTCGAACATCTCATTAAATGAAATCATACATTGTTGCAATGTTGTATCGTCTTTAAAGTATTTGTATATGTGAATGTTTTGGGCGCTTAAAGACTGTTCGTCATTTTCTATCTCGACTTGAAGTATAAAGTCAACCTTTCTGAAAGCACGTGTTATATACATAGATGTTATGCCAATGTACTTCTCTTCATTTATGTTCACAATCCAGTCTGTTGGAAACTTAAACGTTACTCTGTTCCCCTTTATTTTGACGTCAGGGTTTTCACTACTGAACGCAACAGATAAAGGTATTTGTCTATACATTTAATTCGGATAAAAATAAACCATTTACTCTTTCTTTGCTTCAGCTTCTTTAGCTTTTGCTTCAGCTTCTTCTCTAGCTTTCTTCGCCAGCAGTCTTGGGTTCTTTTGTCTTCCAGCAGCTAATGCAGCAAGTTGTTTTTCACTAAGTTTTCTCTTTGGTCTCTCTGGCTTTTGTTCTTGTTTTTGTTCCTTCAGTTCGGATAAAATTTGCTCACGAATTTCTTTCTTCAATGCTTCAACATCTATGACCCCTGGGTCTTGTCCGTAGGGCTTGTCTGAGTCATTTGACTGCAGATAAAAAACAAAATTAAAACTTTAACCGATGTAAAATGAGCTTGTCAAAATCAGAGCGAGAGTCTATTATATTAAATGACGCAAGAGGAATACAACATCCTTTCTATTACGTAAGTCAGAGTAAAGATGGTAAAATATACGTAAGAAAAAGAAAGGTTCCATTAGCGAATGCAGAAAGCGACAACATTAAGGTGCATGGCAAGGGTGAAGTCCACGAAGTCCATGTTAAGCCTTCTATTCAAACTGAAAAGTCAATAGAACCAGAAGAAAAGAAGCCAGATGTACTTTCAATAACGAACCAAGAGCTTATTGCAAAGTTCGTGAATTTCATTGAAAAACAAACCGAGTCAAAGAATCCTGACCCGCCAGTGAAAGAAGTTGAGACAAAAGAGAATGTACAGTTCATTGAAAATGTCAAGAAACAACTTCCACCACGAATGCCAAGAAGAAGAGTGAGAATAATGAAGTAAATAGATATTTTTATCTGAAGTAAATACATGCAGAACGAACAGCTAAACGAATTTACTCCAGCAGAGCATATTCATCAGATTCGCTCATATTTCGATATCATAGACAATGCAGTTCAAATTGGTGACACTAATAGAAAATATTCTGACGCAAAGATTCCATCACAACCTGGAACTGCTAAAGATAACACATGGGTAACATTCAATCTCTCACCTCCTGGTGAAAATATGTTGGACCTTTACAATACATTCATTACGTATAAAATGGAAGGTCAATTTATTGTAGATAAAGAAATTGGTTCAGGTTCCAATAAAACAAACCACCAGGATTTTGGATTGGTTTCGATGACGCTTTCTATGCGTTGCTGGATATCAAATCCTTGCAAATGGTCGTATCGTATATTCTCAAGACAACGCAAGAGAAGAAGCATATATAACTTCAAACTCACAAACTACCGAACAAATAAAGAAAGTAGATGTTTTCTCAAAGACTCGACATGAAGATGTGTGGAGTCATTCGGGAACATGCAGAACAGGACAAATTGTTAGTGGTCCAATTACAGCAGGAAAATCATTTGATTTTAAGCTTCGTTTAAGAATTCCTGTTAGAAGATTCCTTCCATTAGAAGCTATTCGATTTATTCCAGCTTTTGCAGGAAACATTCAGCTTAAAGTAAAGTTCAGTAGCGACGCCTTACAATGCACATCTATATCTGTAAATGATATCATTGCTTTCAATCCAACTCTTAAAGTTGCATTTGCTTCAGATTCAAATCCACCGACAAATAAATTTGTTCCATGGAATGAACCATTCACTATGATAACGAAGGCAGTAGAAGCTAGTGGAACAGTTACTATTACAACTGTAACCAGCAATTATTTCGAACAAAGATGGATTTTAATGAATGTTTCATTCATCCAAAGTCATTCTCTTTAGACCCTAACATTTATACAGAACTTGTAGAACATTATACAAACGAGGCTTTATGTTTTCCTGTTAAAGTTATGGATTGGATTCCTATGGACGGTTCATTCTCAAAGAATACAGATAGTTCAAGTGCAACATTTACAGCAGCTTATACGCCTATTAATGTTAAAAGTATTTGGGCACTATTTAGAAAGAAAGACAACTATTATGTTAATTTTGAGAACCCTAAGTTTAAATATCTTCAGCTTTCCATGGGAGCTTATGGAATATATGCCTGCAGAACCTGAAAAATCATATGGACCTGTATTTTATGAAATGGTTGCGAACGCTTGCAATACAAACAATGATATGATAGGATTTAATGAAGATGTTATGAGGTCATTGTGGATGATGGTAGTGTGGAACATAAATGGGATAGCTATGACAAACACACATTTCTTATGTGGTTTTCCAACAGAAGTGGACTTTTGCTTCCAGCAAGGTCAAACATCTACTGCTCCAATAACATACAAATTGTCTGTTAAAGGACCTATTGAACTAGCAACTGAAAATGTACCAAAGCCACTTATTGGATTTATGAGGGATTGTTGCTTTGCCATTCAGGTGCGTGCTAATGGCATCCCCATAATAAGATTAGATGACTATAACTTAGCTACGGACGACAGTGAGGAATAAAGGATGAACGTTTATTTTTAAAGCTTATAAATGAGTTCTTCATCAAGCTCTCGTGAACCTTCACCATCTATGAAACAAACTTTACCAAACGATTATGGAGCACCTATTGAATATTTCTTACGAGCTGCACAATGGCAAAGAGCAGTCTCACCAAGGTTAGGTGTTCCACCAGCTCCTGTCAAAAATAGCATTTGGTCAAGTCCTTATATAAGATATGGTCTCCCACTAGGTTTGCTAGCTACAGCAGGAGCAGTTATGATGCTGAAAAGAAATAAAGCAAATGTTGTAAATAATACTGAAGTAGCTGAAGTTAAACAAACTCCAACACCTTCGCCAAAACCAACGCCTTCACAAGCAAAATCTTCAATGACTCCTGAACCTATGGAAGTACAAACTCCTGTTCAAAAGTCAACTCCTAAACCGACTCCAACATTTAAACCAGAACCTACTCCTCAAATAAATCGTAAAACTCCTGCGTTTCCTTACTGAAAAAATAACGTTATTTTTATTTAATATTATAATTTTTATTTGATTGAAATGACAAATAAAGTCACTGAAGCAATGAAACAAAAGTTTTTGGTAGAATACATTAAATCAGGAACTATTCCAGAAGGTTTTTACATTCATACTATGAAGGATGGTAGAGTTCAGTTTAGAAAGATAAAGCAACCATTAGATAGAGAAGGTATATTAAGGAAGATTAAACTTCATGAGGACAACATTGCTGAACTTAAGAAGAAGTTAGAAGAGTTGGATAAAGGAAGAGAGTTATAAAGCAATGAATTCAACAGGGTGAAAAAACAGGTGAGAAAAGAGGTGAGATCTCACCACTTCACCTAAATTTATTTTTGTGCTATGTTTTCATACGTGTGAGGGTGGTGATATCATTAATTTTTAAGTTTATTTTTTTTATAAATGACAGAACAAAAATATAACATTTCTACTCAGCAGGAATGAGACCCTTACTGACTATGTATTCGTTTAATGCTTGATGAAAACAATGGTACATATTATCGTATGGGTATACACAACGTCTGTTTCCATCGTCGTCGTATATGTAGAGCTCAAATCCAGTCCAACCTTCTTTTGTACAATATGTAGCTTTATTTAAGTATGCATTTATGTAGATAAGGCAATTTTCTTCATCGCTCCAGAAATAATTTTTGTTCTTTGTTGAAATAGTTTTCGTTCCTCTGCGACCATAAGGAATGTATGCAATAAATTTAGCATCATAAGGTATTATAATATATTCAGGGTTTCTTTTATCGTCAATGGGTCTGTCTTTGTTAAAATGCATGTTTCTCAGTTTTACTTGAGTTTTGAATAGTTCACGGAAACGTTCTGGGAAAGAGTCATAGTAAATGTAGTCAGACATGTCTTTGTAATGAAATAAAAAATTAAAAAAAAATAAAAATAAGGTTATTTTTTATTTAGTGAGGACGGTAGTGAATTCGTTAGTGAAGTCGTTAGTGAAGTCGTTTATGTGTCAAAACCGCTAAGTGGTGTACGGAGGCGCGCAGTGCCTCAGTACACGACTTAGTCTTACTAACTACCCAGTCATAGAGCATGAATTGAAGTTGGATCGAATTGACACCTTTTTGCCATTCAAAGCATTTGTAATTGTGCGGTTCGCAAAAAGAATGATTGCCTACGTAATGGTAGACACAATTCTCCCACATTTTCGTACGTTTGTCAATATTTTCTTCGGCAAAACATGACCAAAGCCACATACTTAGGCTTGCATTCAGACCCCAGAAAGGTCTCTCTATTTTTTCAATCTTCTGAGTCTTGTCGTTGAAAACTTCAACTGTCTTATGAGAAGCTGAGAACTTTGTAAAATCTTTTGAGATATTTTTTGATACATGACCTGGATCGAATCTTTCAAGATGAGAGACGCCAAATTCTTTAAAGACAGAGACACTTTTGTTATCTCGGTCTTTAATAATCTCTTTAACATCTTTCAAGATATTGTATTTCTTTAATTGCTTCAAGATGATTCGAGTTCCAGCACTTTCCATATTGTTGGAAGCTCCGGAATACTGAGCATGCTGTCTGTTTCCACCAATATGGTTGATGTTCACGCATGCAAGAACTCTTTTTGTGACAGCATCGAGCGCAGTTACTGTACAACTTGGCGAGTTTCGCCTGTGCGCCCATCTTGCATCAATGGATAAGTAACCACTGAAGGACTTTCTCGACAGCATTAGGGAAATACTTTTAAGTCTTCTAATCTTATCGTCACAAAATCTCTGTTGTCTCATGACACCACTCTTCACAGGGGGCTTAGTTCCACAAAGAGAAAGAAAGCGAGCACCTTTTGTATATGGCATTCCGGTCATTATGCAAGCACCAAGCATCTGTCGCGCTGAGAGTCGACGACGTTCGTGGAGTAAAATGTTATGCATTGCCTTTGTTTTCCGTTTTGGGTGAACAATATGGCCCATACAACAAAAAAAAATGAAATCCCGCCAAAAGTGAAAATTGAATAAAAAGTAATAATTAATAAATATATACTATATCATTAGATGAATATTTTGGAATAACATTTTAAAATCGAGGTTTTTCAATGGATAACGGTTCAATCAAAAATTTGACCCCATTTTAGAATCTACATTAAAAATGGAACATTTCTGTCGTTTCAAAATTCCAAAATAACGTTTCTATTCCTCTCAAAAGTAAAAATAAACTTTATTGGGGAAAAAATATTTTTATTTTCCAAAAAAAATGAAAACCTTAAATGCAAATCTAATTTTGATGCTTTTGTTTGTGATTTTTTGGATTTCGAAAAAAATTTGAAAATTCAGACAAGTTACCATTAACACTAATACGTTTCAGCGAGTCGGTCCCATCAGAGAAATTTTCATAAATCGGCGATATAATTTATTATTTCAGCAAAATATTCTCAGATCCAACTAGAATAAGGTCAAATTATACAAATTTAGCAAAGGCTAGTTATCCTACCTATTCAATTAACTTTAATTTTAAATAATTCAAGACAATTCTCAAAATTACCTTAATAATCGCGTTCTCTTCGCAAAATGACGATTCATCATTCACTACCAGCATAACTGAGGGCTTGTGCTCACAGAATAATACAGATAATTTACTTATTAATGCAAAATTTAGTACCAAAAGGTAATCATAGAAGATACAAAAAAAGTTTCTTTATTTTGATTGCTGATTTTATTTCTTCTAAAATTTACCAAATCTAAAAAATCCAAAATTGAATGCTATTGAATTTCATGTTTATGTAACATATACTATTTATTATATAAGGAATAAAAATTTTATAGTTTTAATCAAAAATAAAGGTGTACTAAATGCATACAAAACAAGGTATTTTTTACTCATCCAAAATATGTTAACAGTGCTATTTATATAATCAATATCCGAATTTCGAAATCATTTTGATGAAATCTTTATTTTAAAATTGAGTTGACTGTTAAAATCACCCGAGAAGAGGGATTATCTCAATGAAAAGTACATAAAATAGCAAACGCACAAGATGGCACTATGCAGCTTTATATTGTTATACAGGATGAACATATAAAATGTTTGGAAAACACTTACTTCGTTCTACAAATGTGTATCTCTTTATATCAAAGATTCTTCTCAAATTATTGAGAGACTTCTCTCAAAAAAAGGAAAATTTGATAACTAAAAAAAATTATGGCATAACCTCTCGTTTTGCATAGATATATATTTATATGGTCACAGAGCTTATTTTCATTGTCAAAACTTAAAAATTTTTAGTGGACTATACCCTTAAGAAATTTGGCCTTTTTCAAAAAATTTATTCATATTTTGTTCTATTAAATAAGAACCAAATAACAAATTACTAATCAAGTTATGATATAGAAAATTTCTGAATATGCACGTTTGTTCATGACTAAAAAGCATAGACCATATATACTAATTCATCATATGTAAATATTTTAAAATTACATAAACATAAAATTTGAAAAGCTCTCTATCAATTTCAAATATTATTATTCAATAAACAGGTTTTATTGGAATGTCTCACACCCTTTACTTCCATGTAAGTGGCTTCGTTTTTACAGATAGTTCCTATGTTGGCTCGACATTGTGCTACAAAATTGTTAATCATATCAAAAACGTTTCCAAAGCATATAATTTTGAATATTCTGAAGCTTCCACAATCTCTCGTTCCTTCCACATCTCCTGCGATGACATTGATATAGGTCAAATTGATGTCGAGTTGTACCGAAAAGGCGTTTTTAACGACGAGTTTTTAGGCAAAGTTCAAATCCCTCTCAATATATTACCTATGGATGCAGTCACAATGAACGTATTACCATTAACATCTCAATCCTATGAATCAGCTCCGATTGGTATTCGTCTAAATTTGCATCTTACCAAAGAACAAGCTCCTTATAAAGCTCCAATCAAAGAGCCTACACTCATGCAAATGGATCTTAGGCCATACGCAATTGAAGTTCGCCATAAATATGAAACTCAACTCCATAATATGAGTCCAAGTCCAACAACTTCACCTAGCCATGATAGTCTATTCCAAGCCATTAAAATTGCTACAAAAGGAAATAGAAGAAGAAGGGGTGGCTATGTAATCAATTCGATTTAAATTTTTGTTATTGTCATTAAAATCACAATGAAATTGTTTAATTAATATAATTTCAAAATTCTGATTAAGGATACCCTTACGTGTCAGATTTTTTGCGCATACGAAGAAGTCATGCTAGACATGAGCTATAAACCTGAAATTTTAGCAACATATTTAAAACTTTTTAAACTACAATACACTTTAATATTCAAGAACAAAAATATTCTTTTTAGAAATTACATAATTATTTTATGTGAAATCTATATAAAAACATATTTTGCGAGCGTAACTTTTTTCTTTATAAGCACCTTATATGACTGATAAACTGTGAAGGCACATAATTGTTAATTCATAGAGTTGATATGTTTCCAAAATTGAGAGGAAATTTGAAAATTGAATACCCTTTCAATTCAATTTTCAAAAGATATCAGCTCCTTCAATAATTGAAGGACGATTTTGATCATTTGCTCTTAAAACAAGTATGCCATGGAGAAAAAAGTTACGCTCGCAAATCTGAAATATAACTATCATATAAAAAAATTAAATTTCTAATTTTTTACTCTATAGATATTATTGGCCACTTGTGTAATGCATAAAAGTTTATGTCATATGCATACATTTGGAAGTATGGGAGACGAGGGAAATTACTTCTATGAGGCACTAGGATTTTTAAAAATTTCTCTATCGGACTCACCATTCAATTTCTCGAAAATTAAAAAAAATCAATAATAGCTAAAATGTATTATGCATAACAAATTTTAATGTTACACGGTATTTTTTGAACTTCATGACATGAATTTCTTTATATTATTTTTTTTTGGATTTTCTATGATTTATGCGATAGGCTGGAACAACATTGTAAGTGCAATGATATCATTTATAGAGAAATCTAAAACTTCAGCATTCAGAACTCGCAACCACAAAAATATTCATTTGCTAAGTAAGTAAAGTTGATTAAGTTCGACACTTAGCTTTTATACGTAAAACCAAGTGTGTATTGTTATTTCTTGTTAAATTATTGAGAAAAAAATAAATTGTAAGAGAAACGATACTGATTATTGAAATAATATTGAGGGTAGCTGCAGATTTCTTCATTAACATGCCGGAAATTTGTTAATCTTGGTTTTCTATCATAAAATCTGTCGAAGAATCTAAAAACGGAGATATGAAATAGAGATCATGTAAATCTAGAGTATCCTGTCAGAAAAATAGACTAAGCATGTAACCTTTTTTGGTCATAAACACTTTTTACCACTTAGTCATACAGATGATCATTAAATTTAAACGAGCACTTTTTGTCAGAATTTATTCTTTTACAAAGACAGAAGATTTTAGTATTATTTAATATTAGTGCTGTAGCAAAATTCAAAAAACGGTGAAAATTCAGTGAATTTGTGAATTCACATTTTTTTCGACATTTTTCTTGATATATCCATGCACATTAAGAACACAGCTTTGATACGCTTAAAAAAGCATATTTCATATGAAATTGTTAAAGAAATAAACAATTTATATAAAAATTGCACTTATGGGCAGTTTAGATATATAATTTATATATAACATATATACAAATCCATAGACAAAGTGCAATAACTACAATGTTGTAGAAAATTACAGCAGAAATACTGACTTTTTGAAGGATAATAAGAATTCTTCTAAATGTTGTATTTTTATAATTTGATTGATTTTTTTTACTATTTCATTAATCTTTTATGAATAATAATTATTTTAATATATGTGCTATTAAAATTTCAAATTTTGACTAATATATCTAAGTTATCTGAACGAAACATTTAGAAAATATCATACTTACATTGAAATAGCAAGTAGAGCATATTAATAGCAAGTTTCTTGGCTTTATATCTATCATCTATTGTTGTTTGATCAAACAAAATTCACTCTATTATATGGTGTCAATTAATTAAAACAATTTTTAATAGTTATTTATTTAGTGCGAATAAGTGCAAACTCATAAATGAATAACTTAATAGTAGAAATGAATTATCTGATATAAATCTCACATTTTGTCCATCAGAAATACTTTAATTGCATACGCATAACTATTAGTAATACGTCTGAAAAAAAAAAAAAAAAAAAAAAAAAGGTAGTGGGGCTTCCAGGCACTTCGTGCCTTCTAGCCCTGATGATGTTTAGTAATAAATGAAGTTTTTATTCGGAAAATTGTTAGTCTTCTGGGTCGAAAACATTATATAATGTTTCACTTTTCACAAATTATATATGTTTTCATGTTTTGTCAAGACTTCTTCGTAAATGTTTTGTCAAGACTTCTTCGTAAATGTTTTGTCAAGACTTCTTCGTAAAATCAGACAAAAATATAATTTAGGGTAGAAGGTTAGATCTAACCTCTTTTCTAACCTCTTTTCTACCCTCTTGAATTTGTCAAGACTTCTTCGTAAATGTTTTGTCAAGACTTCTTCGTAAATGTTTTGTCAAGACTTCTTCGTAAAATCAGACAAAAATATAATTTAGGGTAGAAGGTTAGATCTAACCTCTTTTCTAACCTCTTTTCTACCCTCTTGAATTTGTCAAGACTTCTTCGTAAATGTTTTGTCAAACATGAACGTAAATGTTTTGTCAAGACTTCTTCGTAATGAGTGTAAAGGACCCAAAAATATAATTTAGGTGAAGAGGTGAGATCTCACCTGTTTTCTCACCTCTTTTCTCACCTCATGAATTTGTCATGATTTCATCGTAAATGTTTTGTCACTTTTCTGTCACTTTTCAGGGAAAAACATTTTTATTATTATATATAAATGAATTTTACAAAACCACCGTTACCGTTCTTTGGAAATAAGAGTAAATGTAAAGATATTATATTGAGAGAACTTAAGAAACTACCGAATGGTCTAACATTTGTAGATTTGTTCGGTGGAAGTTTCTATATATCCCATTTGTGCCATACAATATTCCAGACTCAAAGATTATATGCAATGACTTCGACAACTATATGGACCGTCTCAAACATATTCCAGACACAAACAATATATTGAAAGAGTTAAAAGAAAAGATTCAGATAGGTAAGATGGAACGTATACCATTAGATAACAAAAATATTGTGAGAGAGGTTTTGAAAAAAGCAGAATATATAGACTGGGATAGTATATCTGCTAGACTATTATATAGTGGTTCTATAAGAGTTCATGACATTGAAACACTTATGTCAAAAGTTTTATATCTTAACTATACAAATGTTTTCAAAGAGGACATAGAAAAATATATTGAGGGTATAGAGTTTGTGAGATGTCATTGGACAGAGTTGTATGAAAAATATAAAGACAAGGAAAATGTTTTCTTTATAGTGGACCCGCCGTTCTATAACACATGGGATTTTCAATACCAAGTAGACTGGACTTTGAGAGACTCTTTAGAAACTTTAGACGTTTTACATAACTGTCCATGCTTTTACTTTACATCCGATAAAAGTGGTTTGGAAACCGTTATGAGATGGTTAGAGGACATACATGACTATGAGTTTAGATATGACAAGATAGAATATGAGAGAGGTCCTATAAACCGGAGAAAGTGTCATAACAAAGAAATTTTACTAGTAAGTAAATGTGGTTTGAAATAGGACTACTTGTTTTAGGTTTTTTCCATTGTGTCATTTATTTATTTGACGTGGCAGAAAAGTACAGAGAATATGAAGATGAACCAATGCCTGCAAATGTTCAGTATATGTACTCGTAAGTGATATTTTTATCTAATATTAAATGGACGCACAGAACTTAGCAAATGCACAGCAACCTGGACAACCAAACCCAGAGAATATTCCAAATGAAGTTAGAATACAAACTGCAATGGCAAACTATGGTCAAGTGCCAACAGATGTACAAATGCAAACTGCCATGTCAAATGACGCTGCGTTAGGTTTGCCACCATGGTATGCAAATATGAGATGGAAAGAGTTTTATACAAACCCTGAAGTGGGATATAAACAACTTTATGCAGATGACGCGAACACAGGAGTTGACCCAGAATATGTTTTCTACCAGAGGAGAAACAGAATGTATGAGCTCCAGTTAAAGAATGCTATGGAACTCAACAGGAAACGCAAAAGACTAGGCGGACATTAGATTTTTACATATAGTAAAATGGGTTTCTTCAGTAAGATAGGAAACTTCTTTCGAAATGTTGGAAGAGGTATATGGAATGGAATAAAAACCGTAGGAAGAGGAATTTGGAACGGAGTCAAAAATATTGGTAAAAGGGTAGGTCAGTTCGTTGGTATTATACCTAAAGACCCTGAACCAGAAGAACAAGCTCCTGTTATACAACAGCCTGAACCTGCACCACAGTCTAGTTGGCAACCAAATCCAACACCACAACCGGTATATTAAAAAGTTATATTTTTATCGTTCGATAGTAGTTGTATATGAAACTAAGTTCTAAGTAAAACGCATGGTATAATGGAATTATTCTTTTTCTTCCATCTGTAGTAAACCATACTTGAAAGTCTGAAATACTTCCACTTGGTGGTTCGTATAACTTTGTAGGTTTTTCGTAAAAGTCATTTGCCAAGCATAAGAAAGAGTTTTGGGCGCCAGAAAATGAAGCATGAACAATAATAGCATCTGGGTCGAAAATATTTTCATATGTTCCATTAGGTTTTTCGACTTCATAATAGTCCGGGTGTACTGGATATGCTGCAGGCTGATTTAACATCCTCATAAATCTATACCATGCCAAGTTGTTATATTTTGTAGAAATATAAACGTTTTCTCCAAGGTCTTCTATTTTATTGATTTTAACAGTTGCATTTTTCCTGTCATAAATAATATCGAGATGGTACTCTCCTTCGTCAATGTTATACTGGTTTGCATATTCGAGATAGATGTCGTTTATTTTTCTTGAAAAGCTTGAAGAGTTGTTTCTAAGTTTACAAGCAAACTAACTTGTAAAAGTTTTCCCTGTTCAAATTTCTCATACATACGTTTTTCTTTGTTATAGTATCGAACTTCAAAACCGACCGTAAATGGGAAACCATGTATGGCTTCTGAAAT